TTGAGAATTTATTAAATCATTTTTAGTAATATCTTTTTATAATTCCTACAATTTTAAATAACCATTACATATAATATGAATAACAATAATTTTTTAAAAAAATATAGATAATCAGCTTTTAAAAATTATGATTGTATAGTTATCCAAAACAAATGTTCAAGGACTTAGAGCATCTTCAACAACTATAGTAAAATATATAATTTAGATATTCATGGTATATCTTTTGTTCCAACAGTTACGCTATAACATATGATAAAATAGAGAAAAGAAGAAAGATATGATAGAAATCTACAAATTTGTAGAAACCTCTAAAATTCCATATTTAAAAGATAATAATATTTAACTTTCTCTCATGAATAGGAGACATCGAAATTAAGTGTTTAGGATAGAGAAATAATATTTTATTAAATGCATGAAATATTTTAATAATACAACTAATGCTATAATTGCTAAAATAGAGTAGTTGTTGCAGTTTGATATATTTTTTTAAAAGATTTTAACTTTTGATACTCAGTTTTAGAAAAAATTATAGCACAACTGTTGGAGTTGCTTTTAATTATTCAAAATAGAAAAATTGGTTGGATTTTTATAGGGGTGTTGTAACACCCTAAAATCTGAAAAAAGTGACAAATTTAAAATTTTCAATAATACATCAAACGAATGATAAATCTTTTCTATAAAATCAATACTTGAATTACCTCGAATAGTAATTCTAACTTTAACATAACAAAATTGATAGGCCAAGCCATACATAAAATGACTAGGTTAAGGTCAGGTGTTACTAAAACCCAATAATAATCGCTATATCATAATGCGGAAGACGTTAACTGAATAACTAGATCATTCTCGTGTCTCTAACTAGCACTCAGATCATCACAGTGTCTCTAACTAACACTCAATACCATCTAAACACATCTGGTCCATCACCACTCTTCAGCACCTACTTGATGAATGTAATTTGTGAAATTATTCGAATGCATGTATAAATATGGATAATGGTACAATACATATCAAAATGTTATTTAAATGCACATGCTTTTGGTGCATCTAGATTTAGTTTTTAAATGTGTCAATTTATATAAATTTGTAACTTCAACTTTTGCAGTGTTTGTACGGAACACATGTACCAACCGGAAAACGTTGATACCAAATACAATTAGTTGGTACGTGATATAACAATTTGTATACCAATTATAATTGATTGATACACGGTATATGGTAAAAAAACATGGTAGCAATTTTTGTGAAGTTTTTCCTTTCTTTATATATAATTATCTTTTTCACTAATATAATTACTTTTAATAATATAAAATAAATAAATAAAAACCACAAAGGTGGTGCCTGATTGGTTTGAGTTTGACTCCAAAGATCAAAAGTATCTGGAGGTGTCAGGTTCAAATCCAAGGAGGAATAAAAAATCCCTTGTGGCCACGGAGGTTCAAATGCGGTGACTCCGGGCTATCTGCAAAGCAGGTGTTCGTCCTACGATTAGTCGGCTCGCATAGCGAGTTGGATATCCAGGTTAATGAAATATATATATATATATATATATATATATATAGAGAGAGAGAGAGAGAGAGATGAGCGATCAAATGAAAACCGCCCTCATATGTGTAAACCATGTAAACCAATCTCATTCATCCATTTTCTTGATCAATGGTTAAGATTAGTTTAAGTTATATTAGGAAATTAATAAAAAAAAATTATTTTATAATCCCTAAAAGAACAAAATGTAACTTTTGTAGTGGTAATATTAATGACAACCATATCATGTATATCGTAATATTAATGAAACAAAATCATTTGTAAAATAATGTATTAATTTTATGTTCAAGTATTATAAAAAAATAACATTCATCATTAAAATTGATCAACAATAAAAATAAAACACACTATAATTAATTTAACATAATAAATTTTTTTGAATAATAATAATAATAATAAATTTACTATTATATTTCATGAACGAAATGGTTTCACAGTTTCATCAATACACAAATCAACGTAATGCTAGATGAGACATTTGTCATTTTCAAGTTCCGAGTAGATGTATCCGTTTCAATCTAATTATGAAATAGTTTCACTGTTTGCTAATTAAACAACATGTTCTTAACAATTATGAAATAGTTTTTATGTTGTTATGCACCCATTTCATCGAAATGGTTTCACAGTTGTATGACCGAAATGGTTTCACGGTTTCATCAATACACTAATCAACGTAATGCTTGATGATACATTTGTCATTTTCATGTTATTAGTAAATAGATCCGTTTCATCGTAATAATGAAATTGTTTCACTGTTCGCTAATTACACAACATTTTCTTATTAATTATGAAATGGTTTCACTTTCTTCATGTACCCATTATATCAGCCAATTTCTTCCAATACGAACACGTTTTATAGAGTCAATGCATTTACCATTATATGTTTTGTTAACTATTAAGTGAACAAAATCATCCAGAAAAAAAAACAAAATGAAACAATTTCATCAATAATTGTTGATAAGAAAATAAGATTATGCAAGAATATTATATTACGCAACCAGTTCATCCCCAAAAGTTTCATAAAACAAGCTGCTCAATGAACGTTTTCATGAACAAATCTAATATGAATCTGTTTCAAAGCTGATTATATTTTTACCGGTTCATGAATATTTGTTTGGATCTGTTACTGATTTCGTAGATTAATGAATATAATAATTTTTGATTCTCATATTATTACAACTAATAAACTGAGAAACCAAATAACAATATTCAATTTTTAAAATTTTAATTTAAATAAACATTTAAATATTACCATTTATAAAATTTCATTTATTATGTTACCTTAATTAAGATTTATTAATAACTTTCATATTT